TACAGTTTGTACCTTTATGCCTCATCTATACACAGCTGTTACTTTTGAACTGTAAGAAATTTACAGTCAACTTTTCAATTTATTTTGTAACTTTTTTACTTTAAAGAATGAAGAACATACAGGACAGGAGCCCATTCTTTCAGTTCATAAAGGGGTGCTTTCCTTCACCAAACAGAGACAGAATCATTCTCCAAAACAGAGCAAAAACTTCTGCCAGAACACAGAGCCTGGGTCAGGCGATCAAGCCAGTAAGTCATTGCAAAACATATATTTATACTGTTGTTCTGTGACAGATGCTTCTTATTTGATGCAAAAACTGTATATACTTTGAATATTGGTTCTAAACACCGCATCTAAAAAAGATAGCAAGAGCTGAAGCAAAACCATCCACTGTGATTTGTTTTGCATGTTAAAAAAAAACAAACTACCAGGCAGCTTCATTGTCTGAGTGACAGGCATGCTCGTAACAGGACTTTCCCCATGCATCTTACCAGACAAGAGCTTATGGCTTTAAATTTATTATTGCAATATCATACAATTTACACATAATGAGTATGGAGAATTTCACTGTTGCACATGTAAAGCCATGAGGACATGTGTCCAAGGGTCTACAGTTTTAGGCAGCAAGCCCAGAAGCTGAACCTGATGAGCTCTTGAATAGCTTTTGCTGAACTGGTTCAATGTCACTACAAATAGCAATGAAAACTGAAATTCCTCCTGTTTTACATGCTGTTACATAAACAGCTGTCCATTGCATGAAGGGAAAAAAACAGATGAATGTCTCGCTAATGCTGCCTAACATGCAAACCCTACAGATTTCAAATGATCAGAAACAGCCCAAGAAATGCATTCCTGGCACAGCCTAGAAGTCTGTAGCCTGGCCTCAATTTTCCCTGACATCAATGGGAATTTCTGCACTTGAGGACAACTCTCAACATTACTGAAGGCAATAGCTGCTCTTGTTTCTTGCCAAAGGAGTGATCTTCAGGTAAAACTGGATGGAAGTTCTTAGCAACCTCAGCCATCAACTTCACACTTCAGACATTTGTGTGAACTACAACTCAGGTAAGCAAGGAAATGCTTCTATTCCACCATAGTTCTGAATCTTCGGATTCATCCAGGAAACCTTCAGGCACAGGTTCATTTTGGGCATCGGTACAGAAACCAATGGAGAATTTGTATTAATCTTTTGGCAAGGTACTGCTTCACCAAGTATATAAATGATCTTCTCTTCCATGGTTAGCAGAAGTGTTCATTATCAAAACAGATAATATGGCAATTAAACAGCTAGTTAGCAACATGCCTAAGATGATAGCAAATGAATACAAAACTGAAGGTCAGAAATGTTGCCACCAGAAAATAAAAAAAAGGGGAAAAAGAATCTCAGCAAACAGCCAATAGCCTTCCTTTATCTCAATGCACGTTACCTCTTGCAGCCATCTCTCGACATACATAAGCAACAGGCAGTCATCAACACACACTGATTTTAACAGAATCAGCAAACTGATCATTGCTCATATGTTTTGCTTTGCAGAGAGATATGAAGAAGGCTTTTTTCTGCCTACTGCACTTCTGCTTCAGGCCAGTATTTCTACTAGTCCTTTTTTCCTTACGTTTCATGGGCTGTAACTAATTTGGCCAAGAAGCCAAACTGGGGAAAGCTGACTTAACACACCCATGCAGGTTCTGCACAGCTGGAAACCAGAGTGCTGTTGGAGGACCACTTCATAGTGACCTCAGTACATGTTGGAAAAAAACAACCCCTCAGAACTAAACCAGAGGCATGTGTCATTTTATTGCTATGGAATACACCAAGATCATAAAAATAGCTCACAACTCTCCTTCAGCTGGATGGCTGCCTGCATTGCATGGTTGCTCAGTTGCTCTTGGACAATGCTTGCTTCTTGTGTCCCTTCCTGTCCCTCACCTCCTGTGCCTACGCCCCAGTATCAAATCAAGGCTATGCCCCATGCTCTGCTTCTCCTCCTAGCAGCATCCAGGCACTCTGGGCAGCCTTTTGGTGTCCGTGGGCTCAGCATGGCTCCCAGTGATGATCCCAGCCCTTCCCACAAATGCAGCAGTCAGGTCTATTGTGATCATGTTTCCAGTCCTAATGGATTATGCCTTTTACGAAGAAACTCCATTTCACCATTATGTGTCCAAATTCATGGGGGTTTTTGACCTGAACTCGTGGAAAAACACAGCCACAAGGTTGTTCTGAAAAGGATAGGTTTTTTCAATCCTTTCAATTAAAATCCTGACTCAGTTCTAGGATAATAAAGCTCATTAACTGATTAGAGTTCACTAGTTCATCACCTGAACTTTGGTGCCTGAAACTTGCCCTGGGAGAGGAAGAAGGCTGCGCTGGTTGAGGACCAGTCTATGCAGGGGGCAGTACTCACAGCATTGTTATCTTCTTTCCCCCATTCACTGATGAAAATCAGGAACAACTGAAAAATAAGTTCCACTAAGGAAGGCCTCCAGTGCTTTCTTTTTCCTGACAAGAACTCCAACAGAATATTCATCTAGTATCATTGCTTAAATTATTTCAACTTTGCTTTAAAAATAATAAAGCTTTTAAAATATTAAACCAGTGTTTTAACATTAATAAGTAGAGGCTAGTATTATAAACGTTGAGGAAATATGGCAAACAACAGAGAAAAAAAATATTTGGAAAATCAAAGTAACAGTATTTTTTAAACTGTTTTGAAGATGACTACTCAAACCAGACAAGAAGTAGAAACGTGAGGCTCGTCAGCAGTATAAATGCTTGGGCCAAGAGTATCATCAGTTTGAATGAGTGAATCTAGCACAGAAAACTTCATATACTTCAGACTTGCTATAATTTCTGGGCCCAACTTAAACATTTAAGTCATTTAAGCATGTGCCTGACCCTATATGCTTTAAGGATCCTGACCACAAGCAGAAGGCAGAGGGTAAATCTTTTAACAAATTAGGCAACTCTGCACTTTGAACAATGCCTGAAGCTAACTGCAGAACTAGCACTGAACTCATTCAAATGGAAGCTCACAACAGAAAATTAGACATGTCTTTCAGAACTCAAGACAAACATGAAGCCAAACAAACATGCATCAGTCTAGTTTGGGTGGCAGCCTGAAATGAGGTACATTATATGGGTGCTCTACCAGAGAAACCAAGGCAAGCCTGGAGAACAACATTGCTTTGTTCACCCAACACATGAATGGAGCATGAGGGGATAGTTTGTGTGGGAGCACTGAGCTCCCATTGATTAATTAAGAACTAATCTCCCTTGTTTTCAAAAGAGCATATACAGGCTGTTCTTTGCAAGTAGTGTATTTATGGGTTATTTTGCCATTCCTTGAATTAATGGGTAGATGCATAATTCTGAAGACAGGTTAAAAATAAGATTTCAACATTAGCAGCCTAGATTCTGGTGCAGTTCCAGCCCACTTTTAGGTTCCCTGACTAGTTCTGGTAGATCTGAAGCAATAAAATCCCAGTGTCTGAGGCCCTTCAGCGTGGAGGGGTGGGGTTTGTGGATGGCACCAAGTATGTGCTGTTCAGAGTCAGTTCTTGACAAGTCTTTAGCCACTGTCTCAATGATGTGGCCAAACCAACCTCCAGTACCCAGGTTTTTCACAGCCAGATCCAAGTGTCTTTAGGTTGACCTATCACTTTTGGATCAGGAGAATTACAGCTCTGAATCCAGATTAGGAGTAGCTGCCTTCTTGTTTTAAAGCTATATAAGGAATTTCTAACATATTTGAAGTCTGCACATGTAAATACTGCGAAAAAAAAATAAACCCAAACTGAGAAGTGAATACAATTTTAAGGGAA